GGGGGGGGGGGTTATTCTTTCGAGGGGGGGTTCTAATACCTCTATACATCATGCGCGCCTCGCTGGGGAACTAGGTTTGCGCCCGGGTACCCAAATGCGTGAGCTAGGATCTACTTTTGCGAACACCCGAGTCATGACCACAAAACGGACACGTAGCACGTTTCGACCACCAAATCCCCTCAAAAGTGTGTGTGAAACGAAGACACTAGTAGCACACCATGGGCCCTTCATATGTGGGTTGCTTCAAGTAGGCTCTACACACCACGAAAGGAAATTGTAAACAATACCTCAAGTGTTGTTATCAGCCCTTCGCCGGGGGCGCGGAGGGGCAACCTTGGTACTCGGGACTACTGTTTTCAGGTACCACACGTAGTGATGATAAACTCGTTCCTTTGTTGGGTTGCACATTTTCCTACTTGGGCATTGCTCTCGTGCTTCATGCAGTTACGCTCTCCAACACGAGATCCTTTGGTCCAGTCATGTAACAGCCGCGGAAATCCTGCGTGCCCCAGAGGACTCAAACCTACATCGCACTGAGTATTCATATATGAACAAAACGTTTGATGTCTCTCTCGGCCAGGCAAGGCAACGTAGATGCCGGCATGTGTTTCCCACTGAACACGACGGAGAGGCATTGCCAACAGAATCGTCGCCTCACCTGGCAAGCCCCTACGCAATCGCTCATGTCCACCGCGCTCTCCGGAGTAAGCAGCACCTTGTGGAAAACCATGACCTTACTCGGCGTGACGACGCCCATCACCCCTTCTGAAACGCCACGTTCTCGGCTCACGAAATGCTTCGAGCAAGACCCGCGGTTGGGGTTGCCATCTGATTCCCAAAACGAGTGCAGCTGCTGCAGGATCGACACCATCGGCTCCTTGGTCAAGAACCTACGAGCAAAAAAGAAAAATGGCACACGACGCAAGAGGGCATAAGAGGAATGCAGCCATACTGCGATGGCCGGATAACACGCGTCGTTCAACAGCCACCTACTACCTGACGCACGCCAAGAAACGGTTGATGGTTCCAAATAACATCAACAGCGTCTCAACTCGTGCGACTTGTACGGGCAAACAACGGATCTCTGGTTTAGAATGCCCACAAAACGCAAGGGGTAAGCACATGAGGGCATGCTCTCCACTCGTACATCGAATAAACTGGATAGCTAGCCCACGAAGCGATCCAGGTATTTTTCGGGCATTTTCCAGGGTCAGCCTCTACGCGTTGGAGGGAGAGCGGGTTGCTTCCCAGACCAAAGATTTTCGGTCGCTGTTTTGCTACACAACTCCCCGCTCGACACCCGAATAACAAAAATAAATGGCGTGAAATAGAGGGGATGCGGAGGTAGGGTGGTGAACAAAGAGAACCAAAGGAGGCAGCCTCATGAAAAACGAAAAACGGTTTCAAGCCCAGGCAAGTGATCAAAATCTGCGCCAATGCATACACGGCCGTGCCTTCGGTTGTTCTTGAAGGCACACACACACACACGTAGCTGAGGCCGCAGACCACAACCACTTCATCACTCTAATTATCTATGCTGTGACTCTGCACTCACGTTGAAACGCCTCCATCGGGCCAGCAGGCCTTCATATGGCCTTTCAGGGTCCCAACGTCCATGCCGGACAGGTCACCGATCGCCTTCCCCTCCAGCCTCTCCATAAGGAGAGCGCCATTGCCTTGCTCAACGAAGGCGGTGTTGTTGCTTCCCTGCAACACCCCACGCTGTGTCTTGTGGAAGATCTCCGACAGTAGGATGTCTGGCGACACCCACGCTGGCGCGTTTCCAACCGTCTCCCCGGCCCCGACCACAAACTGTACCCTCGTGCCGCCGAACCAGGCCGGCGATACCATGCTCAACTGCAGAAGATTCATGATGAGGACAGTGTTGATGTCTTGCTCGGGTCTCGACGCGATCACCTGCCCCAGAGTCACGAAGTTGCAGGCGATCTTCATGCAAGCGTCGAAAGTGAGGATCGGCGGAAACTTCCCCCACATCCAGCACCGAAACTCGAAAGTATGGTAGATGAGGGCCAGGAACGCCAAGAAAATGTTGAGCACGTTGAGCAAGTTGGTGCAGTTTGCGAGCCTGGACGTGGAGGTCATGCGCGAAGAAAAAATCGTCGGCAAAATGCGGTTGTTTGGCACTACACACATCCTGTTCAATATTCAACAAGAAAATAGGCCTGCACCAAGCCCGCCCCCTCGATGCAAAATCAACACATGTTTCGACAACAACGAACCGCTTCGCATGCTAGCAGAGTAGAGTGGGCACTACGAATTTTTGTTCTACTTCAAGTAATAATCAAGCATGCCCGCGGAGGAAATGGTGCAATGGGTGGTGCCTAGAGAAAGATCTTCAGATCGCCAGCTTAACAGGATACCGAACTGGAAAACAGGATCGATAATTATCTGAGTTTTTGCGAAATGAGGAGCCCTGGTAGTTTCGGTATCCAATGCGACCGTGCCATATTTTTCGCTGCGAGACACGCCTCAGTAGCTTGCTACACCACCAGCTAAACAGCGATTGGTGAGAAGGATGACGATAATAGGTGGGTCTTGACAGACACATTTATATAGCAACGTGGAACATTTCATTTATTTTACCTTGTGCTGAGATCAGGGTTCGCCTTGATCCAGACCAGGTCACTCGCCAAAGGTTCTAAAAACGTCTCGAAGAAGGCACTTATAGTCGTACCCCTGGTGAACGCCTCCAGGCATCTGTACAGGATAGACAGCTCCACCAGGTAGCTGTTGTTGTAGTTGAACAAACCAGTCTCTCGCCAGTTGTCACTGGCCAATCCGTGGATACCGCACGTCTCACACTCGTTTGTGTGCACGTTCACTTTCGACATGCCTGGCCCCTGCAACAAGACACACACAGCATATTGTCAGCAGACCGATACATCGTACTCGGCGGGAAATTCTCGCATGATCACCAGCGGTTTCGTTCAGGATGGCGACTCCAGGATTTTGGGGAAGGTCGGGCGATTGCCACCGATTCACCCCTCTTTAATGAGCATGCGGGAGAGTGTGCACGGCCTGTCAACACACACAAACAAGACGTGGGGGTGCCCACCCTATTTTCTCTGATTTCCGCTGCCATCAAACATGGTACTCGACAGCCTTCGCCAACAGCATGAATGCTGCCACATGCACTGCCACAACAATAGATACAACCAAAAGACAGCCATAGAGTGCGGGTACAGTGCAGGCGCAGGACAACTATGTAGCCTGCCCAGGAGTGGATAAGGGTGGGGGCATCTAAAATGTTTGCCTCCGGCACACACGCTGTCGACTTCGCTCATACCCACAAGGCGAGCCGCATACTGAGCAGGGTACTGCCACAAGTTCCCACAGAGATGCTGCACTCACCTCTGTCAATCGAGTTGCAACCACGATATACTGATTTCCCGTAGGGAAGTCACGACCACACCCTGAACACGTCTTCTGAGATGTCGTGTAAGTGATGCTGGTGTTTGCGTTGGTGGTGGCACCACGACGTCCCAGGCCGAAAGGGAGGTTCTCCGGGAACTTGTAGACCGACATGGTGTTCAGGCAGTTTGCCAAGCCCTTGCGATACGCCGGTGCATCCTTGTCGAGCATTTTTTGCGCCGTGCGCGGCGTTCCGTCTGGAATTCTACCTCCATCCACGTCTACCTGCCCGACACCCAACCCTTCATCTCGCATACCCTCCTCTTGCCAAAGCGCAAGGGCGACCACCAACGTGTGGAGACACTTTCGGTTCTTCTTCTCGTACTCGCTACAGGGTCCCCCCCGGTTTACCTGTGCCGGGTACATGTGCAACGTATGCATATGACATTGGTGCAAACGTATTTCCCGGAGGGATAAAATATTGGACAAGGTATCAATCGGCGGTACCTTGAGAATAGTGCAATCGACGATCGTACCCCCGGGGGTGCTCGTTTTTCTAGACCCCCCCCCTCGGTGTTTGCCATCGGGATTGGGTTGTCGTCGCTTGGTAATGACGTTGTAAAGCAAGCCAGTTCACTTCGTGAACTTGGCAACCAGGTCACCGTTTTTTTTTATTTTTGCCTCAGCTTTTTTTTTGGCGGTAACCAGAATGGTGGTCGAGTAGATCATGTTGTGCGGGGTCGAGAACCCTCGCTCCGCGCAAGGGGGATGATCGTACCACGTTGTGTCAAAATGGTCAAGCATCCTCGAGACAGTTACACAGAGCTTACAGCTGTCTCTGGAAGTGAAAGCACCAGCAAAAAAATTCAGTCATACGCAGCTGTCATCCGTACGCAAGGAAGTAAGCACAAGATGCCGAACACCCTTAGCAGGATGCAGCGCACCCTTCATGCGACTCGCCGAATATCTCACGGCGCTTCGCGCTTGGTGATGTGAGAGCCTGGTCCGGTGAGAACCCGGCGTGCTCCGTCCCGGCTTTGTAGGGATGCGAGGTCAATGGTCTAACGACTACGGCATGCAAGACTACTTAGTATGAGTACATCCCCCTCCCCTTAAAATCTACCCCTGGGGTAAGTACACGATCCAGCCATTACGTTGAGTTCCCCCCCTTTTTCTTCGGACGATCTTTCACGAGAACTTCACCATTACAACGCGTCAGTGCTGACGCACCCAGAGGACATACACTTTTTGGACGGTACCCGTCATCCGTCGAACGCTTGCTCGCGTATTCTCCATTGCGGGAGCACAGAGTGTGTGAATGGGAGGCTGTGTTTCTGTTCTCTCCAGGGGTGATCAACCCCCGGCGTATTCACGTGGAACAATAACCCTTACCCACCTTTGTATTTACCCTCGGGGGAGCACAATTTAAGAGGCTAAGTCCATCCGGTGCGTCACCGTCGACTACGGGAACACAATTATTGCGAATGAATTTTCCGGCACATTCGAAAACCCAAGACGGCAGGATATATCGTTGGAATGGTCTACCACTTGACTGCCAATACACGTTAGCGAACGCCCTCCTCTGAAGCCACAAACCCGGTGTAACAGAACCCAGCCTAGAGTACCCACCCCTCACTCAAAGTGCGAGCACGCAATTCTCCTGGAAGCCTCACTTTTCGGCGTCAAACTTCGAGACATTCAATATGCGAGATATCCACGGCCGATAATAGCATAAACCACCAGTCGGCCGGCATGGCATTTAAGTCGCACACAACGCAATACACAGCGACGTATTCCATATTCGTTCCGTACTCCAAGAACTGTCCCAAGCTTTCCAGTATAGCGCAAATATCCTCACCTTACACATCAAGCCCGGGTAGCAGTGATCCTCCTCGACGCGCCCNCGAATGAATTTTCCGGCACATTCGAAAACCCAAGACGGCAGGATATATCGTTGGAATGGTCTACCACTTGACTGCCAATACACGTTAGCGAACGCCCTCCTCTGAAGCCACAAACCCGGTGTAACAGAACCCAGCCTAGAGTACCCACCCCTCACTCAAAGTGCGAGCACGCAATTCTCCTGGAAGCCTCACTTTTCGGCGTCAAACTTCGAGACATTCAATATGCGAGATATCCACGGCCGATAATAGCATAAACCACCAGTCGGCCGGCATGGCATTTAAGTCGCACACAACGCAATACACAGCGACGTATTCCATATTCGTTCCGTACTCCAAGAACTGTCCCAAGCTTTCCAGTATAGCGCAAATATCCTCACCTTACACATCAAGCCCGGGTAGCAGTGATCCTCCTCGACGCGCCCTTGCCCTTGCCCTTGCCCTTGCCCTTGCCCTTGCCGTCACCCTTGTTCGTACTTCACATGGGCCCAGTCCAGTTCGCAAGTTCTACTCCGCCTTTCGCTCACGGCGTATCCCCACTCGCCTAGTTGGACGACTGGGTACACGCCGATGTCTTTTGCCTCCGCCCCCATCCCCACCAACAACGTTTCTTCGACTTCCGACAAGAACGCTTTAGCTCGGGCTGGCGAGATACACGCGGTCAAACCCGCGTACGGACATCCGTTGATGCCGTCGAAAAAGATAGGCGTCGCGTCCACCACNCTTGCCGTCACCCTTGTTCGTACTTCACATGGGCCCAGTCCAGTTCGCAAGTTCTACTCCGCCTTTCGCTCACGGCGTATCCCCACTCGCCTAGTTGGACGACTGGGTACACGCCGATGTCTTTTGCCTCCGCCCCCATCCCCACCAACAACGTTTCTTCGACTTCCGACAAGAACGCTTTAGCTCGGGCTGGCGAGATACACGCGGTCAAACCCGCGTACGGACATCCGTTGATGCCGTCGAAAAAGATAGGCGTCGCGTCCACCACCGTGTTCTTGCCAAGCGTCTCCAACGACGCAGTGGCGTGCTCGCAACTGGCCCCCGTAGCACTCTGAACGCCAGCGTTGGCCCCCGCTGTTTGGCTGACCGATCGCTGATGAAGAAGCATCCTGAGAGACGAACAAGACGAGTAGACATGCGACGAAAATTCAGTAACGACGACAATTCAGCAACACCTTGTACAAAAGGAAACCCGTCTGAAAACAGCCATATTCGGGCCGGCCAATACTTCAAGGAGCGTCGACCTGGTGCTTCGTGCACCATTTCGCATGACCCCACCAACAACAAATAACAGCAAGCGAACACTGGGCGCACCCTGTTTGACATGGTTAACCGGTTACACCCTGTATCTCATGGTTCGCTCACGTGTGGCACTTTAACCTAGAGCAGCTGCTCCGCGGTGAAGGCTTCGGGTTCGTCGCTGTTGGCGCAGGATTCTGTAGCACAGTCGTCACTACCCGGTTTTGGTTCGCAGCGATGCATACCGACAGCGTGGTGTTTACAGCACTATCCGCTGCAGGCAAGCGAATCACGCTCACGGATACATGCCGCGGAGCTCCTCGTCCTCTACCGCCCCCTAATCCGGCGACCAAACCCGTACCCCTTGATACCCGGTTGGCTGGTGGCACCGCCCGTGTTTTCCTTGAGCAGCTGGTTAGATGGTACGTCGCAACGGTGACAATTGTAGGTAATTGGGAGGGGAGGTCGGACCTACTTTCGAGACACACGTTGCGAGCGAGAGGCCTACATAGGTAACGTGTCGTGCCCGGGTTTGCGAGGGTTTTGGGGGTCGAACCCACAACCTCAATCTTCATCTCTAGGTCGCGGCGAAAACATGACGCANACGTCGCAACGGTGACAATTGTAGGTAATTGGGAGGGGAGGTCGGACCTACTTTCGAGACACACGTTGCGAGCGAGAGGCCTACATAGGTAACGTGTCGTGCCCGGGTTTGCGAGGGTTTTGGGGGTCGAACCCACAACCTCAATCTTCATCTCTAGGTCGCGGCGAAAACATGACGCAAGAAGGGAAGACCGACCTGCTCGAAAGAGGGAGACGACAT